TGAGTGTGTCAGGACTGCCAACGGGGACCGGGCCTGGGGGGGACGCAAGTGTGCAAGAGCAGAGGAAAAGCCCTCCTTCCACACTCCTTCCTGGACCGGGGCCTTTTGGTTTTTATTTTTGATTTACTTATTTACATTTTCTGTGTCAGAACTGGGGCTTGGACTCATGGCCTTGTTCTTTCTTTCTTTCTTTTCTTTTTTTCTTTCTTTCTTTGTCCCCACTGAACTCTGGGCCTGGGTGCTGTCCCTCAGCTCTTCAGCTCAAGGCTAGCGCTCTATCACAGCGACTCTTCTGGCTTTTTCTGCTTATGTGGTGCTGAGGCATCAAACCCAGGGCCTCATGCATGGGAGGCAAGCACTACCTCTGAGCCACCTTCCCAGCCCCAGCCTTGTCGTTTCATTTGGCTTTGTCACTTGAGGCTGGTGCTCTACCACTTGAGCCACAGCTTCACTTCTGTGAAGCTTTTTGGTGGTCAGTGGGAGATAAGAGTCTCATGGATTCTCTGCCGGGACTTCTCTGATGGATTTCTCTGCTGGCTTCAAAATGCGATCCTCAGAACTCCGTCTCCTGAGTAGCTGGGATTACAGGCGTGAGCCACCGGTGATCAGTCCCTTTTGACTGGCAATCTGGTAGCCACACCACACGTGGCTCTGCGCGGCCCCTTCCGTCCCTAGGCTGCAAAACAAGACTGCAAGGGATGCCCAGCCCTAAGCTCTGACCCCACACACAGTCCTTGGGTGAGGCAGGGGTGGTGGCAGCCTCACTGGGTTGGTCATGGAGGTCCGGAGTCCTCTAAACATGCAGGTGCCTCTCCCAGCCACGCATGACCAAGACTGGTTTGGTTTCTCTAGACTGCTGCCTCTGGTCTGACTGGGTCAACGAGGACCACCCCGAGAGTGGGAGAGATGGCGGCGACCACGAGACATTCACAAATATCTGCCCCGCTCCTGAAGACATCGAGTGCAGGTCAGCCGTGGAGCCCCACCTCAACTTGACGGACCTCGGGCAGAAGGTGTACTGCAACGTCACACATGGCTTTGCTTGCAAGAATGAAGACCAGGTAGAAACACTATTTAATCTCTGTTATGACTACGAGATACGAGTCAAGTGTTGCTGGCCAGAAGAATTCTGTGTGACGAGCACCTCACCTACAACTGTGACCACGAGAACCACCACCACAACAACCACCACCACATCCACCACTCCACCAACATCCACCCCACCAACCCCCACCACTTCACCAACACCAACGCCAACACCTACCACCCTATCAACCTCCACATCCACCACTACACATACACCAACACCAACACCTACCACCCCACCAACCTCCACATCCACCACTACACCAACACCAACGCCAACACCTACCCCCACCACTTCACCAACACCTACCACCCCACCAACCTCCACATCCACCACTTCAACACCAACACCCACACCCACCACCCCACCAACCTCCACATCCACCAC